AGCATCTAGCATCCTCTTACTATTTCTGACCAGCATACTGCAGGAGCCGTCAGAATGCGCGCTGGTCCAAAAAGCCTCAAGTGAGAGGAAATGAGAGCCTGTGCGACCGTATCGTTAACTCTGTGCCTATGCATAATAAAACTGAAAATAGGAATGATATTTTTATTTGGCCTTGTAAATATCTGTGTATATATGAATGGTGCTGTGCTGCACATTTGTCTGTCTGTTTTCAGTCTGTTACACAGCAAAGCATCATTCTTCTCGCCGTCACAACCGCCAACTGAATGTAGTAAATGTACAGTATATGACAGAGCTGCATTTACTGTATAGAAGGTAAAGAGTGGTTTATTAATTCACTGTGAAAAATTGTGAAAATGTTTAATATCAAACATTTATTTGACAAATCAGAAGAGTGGTTATCTTTCATGTAAGACAGAAACAAAAAGAGTTTTGTCTAGAATTTGCATTGCCACTCTGTACATTTTGACCTAGTACCTTTGGCTGAACACTGGCTGTTAGCAGCATTTACGGTTAAGTTCAAAACCTTATCAGTAACACAAGCAGAGAGGAATCAAAAGCTGACAAAAACAATGTAATTCAACGCCCACTTACTAACTTTCTCCTGAGCCTTTAACAACAAGTAGCATGTGAGTGAAATCCATCTAAATCCTATCTGCTGATGAAGGTTGTGTCATGCAATTCAAAAACCCTATACCAATGCTCATGAATGAATTTCCACTCACTCCAGCCATAAAAACGTCAGCTGATTCAGTAATGTCACTTCCATAACAATGTCTCTCTTATGTGTGCTAAGGTCAGCTAACCACCTTAAGCTAGTGGTGCTATCAGCACATAGGACTAGCTATCCGCTGGTTAGGGCAAAGACACACCAAGCCAACAGTCAGCCATCGGCCACCGTCCCGCTGTTCGTGAGCGTTTGTCTGCATCACAAATTTATCACTCCATTTTTACCCTCACATACAACCTCTAACTACTGAACTACTGCAAACAGCCTGAAATAAAAGTGGAAGCTACAGGGATGAGAAACACCCAGTTGCTAAGGAAAACCACCAGGAGAAATCCCAGTTTACTACATCCAGCTGTGAGGGAGGAGAGCTGGGTCCATTAATACCTGAGCTTCCACAGTGATACCAAAACCACACATTTTGATGCTTTCTTATAAGAAAAATAAACATTCTTCCACAAAACCTTTTTATTTGTCAAACATTACACAAGCATCTACACAAGAGATAAATAACAAGAGTCTAAAAGGAGAACATACTGTATCTGAGTAAAGAGTAAGGAAACAAGACTATGAATTCATCCAGTGCTAGCTTTCAGTACTTGGTACTACAGAAATATTTTGCATTGTGTTTCAACACCCAAGCCCTTATGTCTAGGTAATGACACATTTTCCTCTTGGGTAATGCATACGAGATGCTCAAACATGAAACACTTCTTATTTTTTTTCCTTCTTCTCATCTCTGTATTCCTCATATACTCCCATTCTCTCCACACCCGACATTCATCTCTCTCAAAGTGAGCCGTGTGGCCGGCGGCTACTCTGTGTGAAACATATTACATATCACAAATCAGACATTTTCCTCTGCTCATGTCACTGGACACACATGTATTAAAACACTCCTTTGTACATGAGTACACAAACAGTGCAAATACACAAACGGCAACCCCTCGTGTATGCAAACACACGTCCACTGTGCCTGCGATGCCCTGTATTCCGTTCCAGTTCTCAGGCTCTCAGCTTGCCCGTTTTTTCTCCCGCTGTCTCGAGAAAATAACAAACAGTGCAATCTTCCTGCAGCCTTTCAACGAACAACATCCATTCTAGCATGAACCCAGTGTCCCTTGTTCCCTCACCCATCTCCTCTGCGCCCCCACCTACCCCATCCCATCCCTGCCTCTAGAAGGTGAAGAAGTACAAAGAAAGGGATCAGAGCTTTTCCGATTCTTCCCTGGTTATTAACTACCGTTTGTCCCCTCAGAGGCCTGTCCCTCCCATTAACCCAACTGATGCTCTTTTCTCATGGAAATCAGCCTGCTGTTGCTGCCGCCGCCACCGCCTCTGCTGCCGCTACCACCACTGCTGCTGTCGGGAGAGGTGCAAGGAATTGTGGGGGATTTTCAGAGGCTAAGACCTCCCTCCAGCTCAAAAGCCTCTCTCTCTCTCTCTCTCTCTCTCTCTCTCACAAACAGACAAGCTCACACCATGAGTTCAGGCACACATATATCTACCATCTTAACCAATCGGCATGTGTGTGAGCTCTCACAGACGAACACATTCACCCAGGCACAAACACGAAACATGCTGCCTCCAACCACAGGGGCATGGAAGCAATGTAGAGCAATGCATGGAAGTTAATGAGAAGAAGCTGGCTCAGTGGACCCGGCACCAAATATTCTGCAGAGTAGTTATGAGAACGCCGGGGCACCAGAATAACATGAATCATCAGGAGTTTATGGCTCTGAAAAGCAACATTAAGAAAGAGAACTGATTCTCTTTTCTTCTGGACATAATCACCAATGGATAAAGAAAATATAATAACCTAATTCCTGGACTGTTTATTCCTTATTCATTAAAAAAAAATAATCTATTTATTGTAGACTTTTAAAGTTTGTTAATGATAGTTTTCACCACTTAGGGGAGCCCACAGGTAGAGGTTTATTCTCTGTCCCTTCACAAATTCATTTCAAGTTTGACATTCTAATGCTGCTTACAAGAGTTCTGTGCATTTGTCACACTACCTAAAACAGGTGCACCAGGCTAAAAACAACCTCACTTAATGTTCTGAATGTTTGAGAAGTCTATGAAGAGAATTAATTGTGCTAAGACGCACGGAGCAGATCCATCGCTAACAGGACTGGTATACAGAGAGCGGCACACATCAACACATGGGTCTCGACTTGCACGGGGACTGGCAGCAACAAAGGCATTGTCTCATGACAAACTCACTTCCATTTCCTTATTATGTAGCTGGAGGCCTTGGAACATACTTGTCACAGAACGCTGCAGCAGAAAGTGTGTGGTGGTCGCCCACAGAGGTAAACTGGAGACGTGGGAAAACCCACCTGAACCCGCTTCATCACACTTTATTGATCTGCAATACTGACATTAAACATTGTGGGGTAGTGAGGACCTGTAAGATTTTTAGTAATATATATATGATTCAAGTACAGTATTTCACTAGTATTGCAGCCACATAATAACGTTTGCTTTGAGGTCATAAGCTGCCACCAAATTATTTATCATTAAATAACTGAGGGCTTCGTTTATTCTACACAAACCACCCAAGTAACTACAGTAGGTCATGTATGTGATGGAAGCCATTCACAGTGGATGTTCCATTACAGCAGGTCTGTACAGGTGGAATCAACCGCTGCATTTTGAAACCCAATTAACTGCTTAAGTAATGTTTTAAGTAAAAAAAAACAAAACAAAAACAAAACAAACAAACAAAAAAAACAAATACAGCTTTTCAATTTTGGGGACTCACTGTTTGTCTTTTGTGCTCGTAAATCACTAATGTGACTTTTTACATTGTTCATTGGACCAAACAAGCCATCTACCTCAGCTTGGGACTTAAGGAAACTGAAACAAGTATTTCTGTCGCTTTTTTGACATTTTACAGACTAAACAATAAACCAAGAAGATAACTGGCAGGTTAATCAATATGGAAAATAAATGTTTGTTGCAGCCCCGGTGACATATAGGGATCCACATATGTGTGTTAACTCCTGTACAACCACAGGATGTCCGCTGATGGCTGATGTAAAGAACATATCTAAATGTTACACTGTGCATTCTGGGTGCACCCTCTGTGTTGAACAGGAAAACCAAGTGTAGTCATCTTATCAGAAATTATATCAAGTCACTGCAGTAACAATTATGCCAAAATATCCCAGTGAAAGCACAGACAACGGGCACAATGCAGTGGGCTCACTGCTGGAGCCATGGTTTTCACTTTGTCTGCTGCACAACATCAGTTTTTGTTACTTCAACAATTGTTTTTGCTTATTTCCACACTCCCGGTTGAGAACAAATGTGTGAAGAGCAGAAGCCTACAGCCAAGCCAGCTATCAATAACAAGTGCATAAACTGTACCCCCACATTGTGACCTCAACCCCCCTTTGGGAGGGTCTTGGCTGTTATTTACCCGCTTCCAAGAAAAATCAAACACACACACACACACACATACAGGCGAGAGGCCAGAGACACGAAACATCCGACAGCGACAAACATGACATAAAGCATGTATATAACCAAGTGAGGAGGCCAAATATACACGCAGTCAGCAACAATGGCTTCGTGGATTCAGGGGCCGACTGAGTCACAAAACTCCTCATTTAGACATGTAACAGTATGATGCACGCACAGCAAACAGCTTCAACAGCACAGCAACTTTTCTCTGTTTTCTCCTGCTGCTAAAACACACCATGAGCAGTTGCCCTGGGACGTCCCCTCTATCTCCCTGTCCTCTGCAGTGGCCTGCCACACTTGATAATTATTCGGAAATTGCTTAAAATTTCACCAGGTCGCAGAAAAACTTGCAAAGAACACCAGACGTCAACAGCGAGGGGCCGCTGGACAAAGTGCACCGTGTTCAACAGCTTCGCACATTCGCGTTTGCAACAGAAGTATCGAGCAGAAAGCCTCGAGAAGCACGAGAGGCGATCGCGTAATTAAAAATTAAATACCCAGATCCTTCCACGCTGCCGCAGAAATAAGCAAAAACATGCAAAGTCCGATTGCGCGATAGTAACAACGCGTTCATAGCAATTCAAGTGTCGCGCACATCGGTGTGTCAGGCTGCGCCAGGAGCTATCTAAAGCTGCGAAAGTTGTTCAAAAGGCACACATGCACACACCAGGACGTGCAGCCACATTATGAAGTCTTACAGAAAAAAAAAGCGAGCAGTTTACCCACCAAAAAGTTTCCAGCACCGCATTAGTCAATCTCACATGGATCCCCGGTAAGCGTCCATCCCGGAGCACAAACCCACCGCAGGAGAGCCCACGACACCGCTCCCCGCCCTTCTCTCCCCGAGATCTGTTGCTTTATTATTTTTCCCGATTTTTTTCAATAATTTTTTCTATATTCGGGGCCTGAGAGTGCGCCTGGCTCTCCTCAGGCTGCAGCCGAGTTATGGGGCGGTAAGCATTGTGGGAGTGTGACGTCAGGCCACTTTCACAAACTTTTTTTTTTTTTTTTCCAACCTGGGAGCTGACTGCTTTTTCAGCAGCCTGCAACCAGTCCCCCCCCCAGTCAGTTCACACCTGCAGTCCCGTTTATATAGCTCACATTTGGCCTATGGGAACACATTATGATTTTAAAAACTAAAAATTTGAACAGACATTTTTACATATTGCCTGTAACGGTGCCAAGATTTGATACAGCATCGTCCTAGGTATATTTGACAATATGTTAATATTGGATTCTTAGACTTAGGCTGTTGCAGTTGTTAAATATTGAAAACTTACTTTTTGTTTGTCTCTTTTGGTTTTGTGTGTGTTTGTTGTCGTCCTCTGCCTTTGCAATGGAACAGGAACAAGACCAAACTGACCCTTCTCAATCACATGAGGCTGATTTGTATGTAGCTGGCAAGACAAAAATATGGAGACACCTCTGATTATAATGTAGTCCACTACAACACCGCTTTTAACTATGACACATATAATAGAAATGACACATTTATGACAATTTCACCAAACACTGAAACATTTTGAGCATCATAAACACAGATGTTAAGGTGGAAATGTTGCATTGAGGTGCATACACTTTTAAAGGTGTACCTAATAAAGTGGCCGGTGAGTGTTTATATAGATATATCTTTTATCACTGTGAAGGAATAGTAACATTTATTGGGCGCCAGTCTTTTTTTTTCACAAAACAGTTTCTTAAAACGTGTCTTCTGCTGTTTGTATTAATGTTTTATGCTGCTGGGTCAACAAGTGACAACAGAGGACGAAGCAGGTCGCCCCGGGTCCCCACGTGTTTTACTGGTGGTGCTGGTGGTGGTCCCGTTTCTCCCACCTTGTGCGTTTTTACTTTTTTTCCTTCTTCTTCTTCTTCTTCTTCTTTTACTTCTTCTTCTTCACTGGGAGAAGCTGGGGGTGTGGGGTTGGGGGTGAAAGAATTACTTCCAGGGCACATCAACTCGTTTCCTCGTCAGCCTAACCCCCACCCCGAGCCAGCAGGGTGAATCAGTTTGTGCAAAGAGAGGGAGTATGGGGGCTGGGGGAGAAATAGTCTTCAATAGTGCTGCCTTCAGGTGCTGCCCGCCTGCTCATTGTTTATATGTAGACCTATGGAGGAAGAAAAAAAAAACTTTTGTGTGTGGATTTACTGGAGGCTAACATTTTATTTAACACAACAAAGATACATATTTTTTTATGCATGTTGATTTATTTTTTAAATGACTTGAAGCACGACAGGCTTAAAACCTGTTGGAATGCTGACATGAAGCGCTTGATGTTTAAATCCAATTATTTAATTTAAAAATGTTTTAAACATTTCTTTTTGTTTGGTCTGGACATTAAAAAAATCACAGCATAGCGGGAAACTGCAGATGATTTACTTAAATAATTGTTGTTAATCAATGACTCGCTCATAATTTCGACATTTCCGATCGAACATGAAAGCACCAAAAGCCTTTTGGCGTGTTGTTCGGGGGGAAATGCCTCCCGAACACAACAGACTTACCTGTTGCTGCAGTGTGCTGAAAAGGTTTGTGGGGTTTGTGGAATTAAGCTTTCTTTCCTCCTTTCCGAGAGCCGAGTGTGAAAATCCACACGAATTAAAGTGTGAGGACAGTCATAGTCTGGGACCTAAAATCTGCAGGTATTATTTTGATCGTCCAGTGGTCGGACCTTTGTTCTGGGGTGGGGGTGCTGTGCAGTCAAAGTCCTGTTTAAATGGAAAATTATTGGGAGAATAACTAATCTGGTGATTAATAGATGACTGATGGGGACGTTTAAACTAAGTCAAGGGCGTCATTTTTCGATTACGCTTTAAAAAATCAGGTACGATTTTGCCTTCAAACTAGCATTTATTTTTGAAAAATTAGAATAATTTAATATTCAACCAAGAGAAAAGGATTTTCCCTCCACAAGATAAACTGTCTCCAAATACCCCTTTAAGTGTCATACAGATTTTTTTTAAAGTGGTAGTTTAATTTTTGCACATGTATTCTAAACTATTCTTAAGGTTATATATCACCCGTTATTCATTCAATACAAACAACTGCTAAGCCTGAAATTTATCAACTTAGAAAGTTCAGATTTAATTGCAGGCTTAGGCTACAACGTTATTTCAGTGCATCAACACACATTTAAAAATGTAGTCCACGCTGAGGCTTTATGCATTTCATGAACAGTCTCAAACATTTGACCAAAGTGATGCAGTTATTTCTTTGCATTTTGCTACAAAATGAGGTTTATTCTACTGTATGCTAAGCACACTTATTGGTGATTTTCACCCTTTTAACCAGAAATCTCTGAAAACTAAATATATTTAAACTCTTATGGTTCTGACATTATAAATTAGCTGCAATGGGAAGCAAATGGAAAATTTTAATTATTCTGACTCTTACAGATGCAAAAACATCTGGTGATTTATTCTATAATTAATTAAGACATTTGTAAATGTTGTTGTCTATTAAACGTTTTTCCACAGTAAACATGGTGCAGGAGGTAACAACACAGAAGTTGCATGTGAAATTATATTTCGGCTTATTAATAAAGTTATTGTGAGATTAAAACGTCAGCATCTACTCAGTTTACATCGGCGGTTTTGTCTGTAGCCCTAGCCTATATTACACTATCGCAGTGACACTGACAGAGCTCCATTAATGGTCAGTGTACTGGTTTTAATGCTTTATTGTTTTTCTGGAAAATCTTTACTGTTGTGGTTGTTGACTCATGGTTATTGTTCGACTGCAACTTTCTATGTGAGGATGCTATAAAACCCACACAAACCGGATGAGAATAGACGGTAGAGAGACAGAAGGCCGAAGACGAATGAAGTGAAGCCATTTCCCAGCATAAGGAGGGAGACTTCCTTCATCATGCCACTCTCTGTTTGTTTGGATTAGAGGGTGGTCGGCGTGATCACATGCATGGTTGTCGTATTTAGAGCTGTGGAGTGATTTTTAATTGTCTTATGAAACATCACATCATGCCGTGTCTCTCTCATCTCTCTGGACTGTGTAGGAAACCTCTCCCATGCAGAAACCCAAGCCAGGAGCAGCCTCCACAGGAGCCACTCCCCTGCATGTCTCTGACTACCACACACCTAATCAGTCCTGATTAGATACACTGTGAGGGGTGAGGAAGAGCCTTCCAGATGTTACAATGACACAAGGAAAAAAAATAGGCTTCCTGAAATAAAGCCTTCAGCAGGCATTGAGCAGAAACGTGTGTCCATTTCAGCAGTCAGAGCTCCAGATGTTCTTCTAGTGTCATCCCAGTGTGCCGTTCTCTCCTTTAATGCTGTTTACTTTAAACTTTTTCTTTTACCAGCATCAGCTTTGTAATCACATAAGCTTCCAAATAAGTACACATGTGCTTATCAAATTCTGGACAACACACTCAGGCCCATTTATACAGAATCAGTGAGCACAATAGCGATTTGTAAGAAGGACAATTTGCTCACATCTGGAGTGGATTTCTTTGCCACCAGAATAACCAGATATCCCATCTTTCAGGATCTGGGATGGTAGTTTTTATGTGTGTTGTTTAAAACAGATGTACACAAGATGGGCAATAAACAGCAGAGGGAAACACAGCCATCCCTTCCATTTGTGCAGACACTAACACCTGCCAGTGTCTGTGCAAATGTATATTTTGTACAATATGTTTTCACTCAGCTTTGTTTGGCTCAGAATTTACTTTATTACACTGTAGTTGTGTGAAAATAGGTTGTTAACCCACAGGATGTCTAATGAGCCTGGGTTTGCATGTCATTCACCCATAAACATCCAGTGGCACAGCTCAGCAAGAATCCAACCCCTCTCATACCCTAACAATCAGTGTGATTGTTGCTCAAAAAACAAATGCTAACACCTGCTGTCAGATAGTGGTGTCATTTTATGTAACTACTGAGCATCTGGCATGTGATAATTTGAGGGTAAATAGTGGGGAAGGCTGTCTCAGCTGGGACTTGCTGTTGTGTAATGAGGTGGGGTATCAGGTCGCACGCAGCCCACACCAGCGCCCTGCAGCAGGTTGATAAGGTGGACGGGTGGAACACGGAGTACCCTGTCACCGCTACACATCCACGTCACTGAGGCACGCCGCTGCCAAGGGGACATCCTAGCTGAGAAGAAAGCTAAAAATAAAAACAGAGTTTGGTTAGCTTGGTCAACTCAAAAGATAAACAGATGTTTAGAGCCAAAATATTTGGAACGAAAAGTTTGTTTTTTTGTTGGCAGTTTTTAGCTACATCACTGAAGCAGACTGAGGGAGCCTGAGAGGACAAATCTCCCCAGACAAAATGAGTAAATCAGCTCTTTGTCACTTGTTATATTCTGTTTTTGCCCACATGCCACTGCCAAACACAACACTAAAGCCTAAAACAGGCAGATCTTTGTCCATTTGCCTGGTTTTGTAGTTTCTTTTAACAGCTCTAATTCTCAAGAAAATCCTAGGGGCATTAATAAAATGTGTATACTTTTATGTTTCAGTGTAAAAACAAAAACAGAAACATTTTGCTTAGAGTTTTGGCCAAATATCACTACATTTAAATAAATCTTCGCTTTTGTTCATTTTTTCTGATTTTCATTCAGGTTTAACCCAAGTTACTAACACAGTAACATAAAAATACCATTTTCTCAACACCTCAAAAAAGGGATTTTATCAAATACTAAAACATAAGGGCCACAATAATTTTTTAAAAATTGTTAATTTAGTTTATTTCATTAGATTCTAGCTCAGAAGAAAACTAAAAACAACATTAGGCTGCTTGTCTACAGAGTTTTGTTACGTTTTGCTGTTTAATCAACTCATCTAAATCTAAAAGAGTTTTGTTACATTAGATTAGATTAGATTCACTTTTTGTCCACACATCACTAATGTCACTGGTCAAAGGTGAGCTGAGAAGAAAACTTATAATAATAATAATAATAAAACTGGCATTTGTCAAAAGAGTCACTAGTTTTCTTTAAATCTAAATGAATTGGGGTATCAGGTCGCACGCAGCCCACACCAGCGCCCTGCAGCAGGTTGATAAGGTGGACGGGTGGAACACGGAGTACCCTGTCACCGCTACACATCCACGTCACTGAGGCACGCCGCTGCCAAGGGGACATCCTAGCTGAGAAGAAAGCTAAAAATAAAAACAGAGTTTGGTTAGCTTGGTCAACTCAAAAGATAAACAGATGTTTAGAGCCAAAATATTTGGAACGAAAAGTTTGTTTTTTTGTTGGCAGTTTTTAGCTACATCACTGAAGCAGACTGAGGGAGCCTGAGAGGACAAATCTCCCCAGACAAAATGAGTAAATCAGCTCTTTGTCACCTGTTATATTCTGTTTTTGCCCACAGCACTGAGGCATGCCACTGCCAAACACAACACTAGAGCCTAAAACAGGCAGATCTTTGTCCATTTGCCTGGTTTTGTAGTTTCTTTTAACAGCTCTAATTCTCAAGAAAATCCTAGGGGCATTAATAAAATGTGTATACTTTTATGTTTCAGTGTAAAAACAAAAACAGAAACATTTTGCCTAGAGTTTTGGCTAAATATCACTACATTTAAATAAATCTTCGCTTTTGTTCATTTTTTCTGATTTTCATTCAGGTTTAACTCAAGTTACTAACACAGTAACATAAAAATACCATTTTCTCAACACCTCAAAAAAGGGATTTTATCAAATACTAAAACATAAGGGCCACAATAATTTTTTAAAAATTGTTAATTTAGTTTATTTCATTAGATTCTAGCTCAGAAGAAAACTAAAAACAACATTAGGCTGCTTGTCTACAGAGTTTTGTTACGTTTTGCTGTTTAATCAACTCATCTAAATCTAAAAGAGTTTTGTTACATTAGATTAGATTAGATTCACTTTTTGTCCACACATCACTAATGTCACTGGTCAAAGGTGAGCTGAGAAGAAAACTTATAATAATAATAATAATAAAACTGGCATTTGTCAAAAGAGTCACTAGTTTTCTTTAAATCTAAATGAATATTAGCACCGCAAAGTAGTTTTGCTACTTTTGTCAGCTTCGTGGTGGATTCGTGTCTGGTGCTGCGTAGATACTTGCTGAAGAAAACTATAAATATGCAATTTTTCAAAAGAGTTTTGTTAGTCTAGGCTAATTTTCTTATATCTTTATAGGTAAAAACAGGGGGAATTATGGGGAATTTACTTTTACTATGTCACAGGCCCACACCACTGATGAAAGGAAAGCTCCAACTAAAACAAGGATTCTGTAAACCTTCTGTTTTGTTAGATTTAGCACATCTAAAAAAATCCTTAGAGCCAAAATCTTTGTTACTTTTAAGTTAGGTTTGTTTTTCATTTGCACACTAACGCACAATGCCACCAAATATTTTGTTCTCAGAGCTGGTTAATTCTGGCCAGTTTTCTTAACATCTCCAAATACATTTTCAGAGCCGAATATATTTTGTAATTCTTAGATTAGATTTAATCTTTCTCCACTTGACAACACTAAATGTTAATAAATAAATCTTCATAACCTTTTTTTGTTGTTGTTACTGTTATATTCAGTTTCTGTTGCATCACTTTGTCACAATACTGCTAAACATCTGGAAGAATAACTAAAAATGGGCATGGGGTCAACAGAGTTTAGTCAGTTTTGGGTCATTTTCTCAACACCTCTAAAACCTATTAAACGGATTCAGCTAAAGTCTTTAGAGCCTAAATGACTTTTTGGTAGTTTTATGTTAGATATGATTTTATTATTCATTCTGTCATCAGGAAATGTTTCTTTACTGCTCTTTATTTTGTTTTAAAGGCCTGTTTATTTTAAAAACTGTGGTTTGGGAGAATTTAACATTAACTTAGTTATAAATATAGTAGGTCTGCATACTGAAACTGGGGAAATTACACCACACATAGTCACAGCCTTCAGCTGAATTGAAAGCTGGGTTGTCAGTAACAACACAGAAAGGTCAACAGGAGGCAGGTTGTTTGAGGTTGGCTACCTTATTTCCCTTCTGTGAAAGGCCACGGTGTCAGTGTTAAGGCTGCTGTTCAGCAAGAGGCAGAGGCTGAAACAGAGAGTGAGAAAGGAGGAAGTGACATATAAGCATCTGTACATATTTTAATGAAGTACAAACGTCACCTTCTTCCTCTGCAGTAAAGTGTGGAGTCTGAGGAACTTGTAGATTCATATGGGAAATGAAATTGATGAAGTGAATCAGAAAATAAAATGTCGCCTATGATCTCATCATTTCTATTAACCATCTATTGGTTAATATGATAATTAATAATAATTTACTACCATAAAGATATGCCATAATTATCCAATACAAATAGAATTGATGTAGTAAAGTAGGTATACAGTTTGTTTCATTTGGTTGTTGTGAAGGTGTACAGTTTGTTTCATTTGGTTGTTGTGATCCTTGTTCACCTGACGGAAGTCTCTCTCTGTCTCACACTCCAGCTGTGAGTTGTGCTTCATTGCATTGTTATCATTGCTGTCATCTCTAACAATGAGAAACAGTGTGTGTTCAAGGGACGGGGGAGGAGCAGACACAGATAACGACACAGGAAAAGAGGGAAAGAACAGCCGGCTGTCGAGCATCACAGAAAAGAAAAACAACAATACAAAGAGAGAATACGTTAGACTTGGTCGCTGCACCGGAACCCTTCAAAGCAAAAGGCCCTGGAGAAAACATCTCCACAGCTCTCATTATCCATTTCACTTTCTGGCATTTTGGCCATGTGCTATTTGTAAAACCATAATAATCTATTATTGAATTATTTAGCTGGTGTAGCCTAACTAACAACAAGTTGTTGGCCTACCTGTAGGTCACACTGACTGTGTTTATCAGTCTCTCAACAGTAAATAATGATCCCTTTAATGTGACATATTTAAACAATTATTGGTTGATTCAGCCAAACGAGGTGGGCTGGCAGAGCCCACACATTTCAATGAATGTAACAAAGGTTTGAGACCACAGCCAGGCCACATGTTGCCATGCCTACCCAGCACTCTGGGTTCGGGCATGTTGAGCACACATGTGAACATCTAATGACAGAGCTCTGGGAACGCTGAGTCTTTATCATTGGAAATAGCACCGACTCGCTCTGAACCAGAGATAGAGCAGGGAGGTCTGATGCATGTTTTCTCCTTTGCAGCATGAACTTTGTCAGTCTCTGGGAATGATCTGCATGCAAGAGACAAAGCCTAAAAGGTCAACAGCCCAGTTAATGTTAATCACTTGTAGTTTAATTACTAAAGGCAGTTTAAATACAGGAATTCTGAAGCTCTTAGAAACTGACAAACTTATTAAGATCATAGTGTTGTCATGGTGTGAGCTGAGATTGGTCACTGGTACCTGCAGTTAACACCTCCAGCTGCTATGCTGGTAACTACATGTGCTCTCCGGCTGGAAGGAACCAAACAGCCTGAACAAAGAGGGGTGTCTGTGTGTCTTCACGGCACTACACCCGGCAACACAGACGAGCTTAAGGAACCAGAGGTGTTCAAACATGGACAGAGCCAGTTGTGGCCAGGGCCACAATCTGATTGGACACCCCTGGTGCCACCTCTGCCAGAGTCTAAATGTGATGCTTGTCAGTACTGAAAAATGAAATTTTTTAATGCCTTAAATACAACGAATGCTTTATAACTAATATGGGTCTAATTAGTTTTATTTTACATCATGCATGCAGCATGATGTTTGCCTTCATCTCTCCAGTTGTGTTGTTGTGGAGAACTTGACATGAGTAAATAAGGGGTGCAGCTAAAGAAAGTAGTGTGCCTCATGTTTACACAAAATAAACTATTTGATTCTTAATAATATGTGGTTTATTATTTTATAGAACTAGGGGTTTAATTGACTTTTTACATGGATTCCAAATGTGCCACCCCTCTCTGAATCTGTGTCCCAGCTTGACCACCCTTTCCAAACTTTTCTAGATCTGTCCCTGACTGTTGAATCTGAGAAGTTGTTGGATCTGAGAAATTGTAACATTGCTGAGTATGGTTTCACTATGGGAGGTGCACAGAGTACAAAGAAACAAACACATTAGAAGGACAAAAAACTGAGGTCCAGCAGAAGAAAATGCTGGACCTGATTAAGACCACGATGATCACAATAATCTGCTGCAAGAGAACAATCTCATGGCAGCACAAAAAAAAAAACTGTGGCAAAAAGACAAAATCTTCCTTGAGAGACATTTGAGAAAAGGCAAGGCATATCTCCATCACACTAGGAGGACTTCAAGAGTACCCTGCAGAAAAATAAGGAGGAGTGAGAGACGAAAGAGAACTCTATGAAGGCCCAGCTGGAAGAGCTGGGACAGCCTTGCTCAAAGGTAGAAGAAAAAGACAAGGTAGGAATATGTCACTGAAAAATGCAAATGGAAGCAGGTGTGAGGACAGGACCCACATCAGCATTCAGCGATTTAAAACTGCCACCAACATGAGGCCTGTTTCAGGCTTCCACAGCTGCCAAAAGAAAAAAATAGATCACTACAATTAAATGACACATTTTATATATCCACATATGAATAAATATTTGCATATTTGATCAGTGGTGTAAATTGTAATGAACCCCGTTCTATGATTTACTTATTCTATTCTACAGTAGACCCAGTTCAGTATACAAACACAGGAAGCTATTAATGTGCCCCAAAGTCAGTTTTATCAAAAGTTAACTCAAAACTTCGAGTCAGGTTTTGTTATAGATTCCCACCAAAACTAATCAAATAAAAAACAAACCAGAAAATGAAAGTTGAAGAGAGCATATGTGATCAATATTCAGCAAAGAATATTCATAGAACCGTTGACCTGTGAGTCAGGTGAGCAGTCGGTCAGTCAGGTCTGCAGCATCTAATTAGTTCCACTAAAACTGGCAACTCCAGGATGAAACCTGACTGGGACATACACAATTTTTTCATGAATAATTCCTCCACAGAGGCAGCCTCCAGAGGTGGCCATCCACTCCTGCAGGGTCACCCCGTCCCCGATATGTCCCAGGCAGAAACAGTTGTGAACTGTTGGATTAAGTGGCCTTGGGCCAGCAAGGCAATACAGTTCAAGGAGGGTTGGCGGTTTGATTCCTGGCTTTTCTTTGTCCACATGTTGAGGTGTCCTTGAACCCCTAGTTGCTCCCAACATATTGCTGGGGTTTGATTACTTGTGTGCGTGAAAAGGTGAATGGGAAATAGTGTAAAGCACTATATAAGTATAAGACCATTTACCATCATCAAGATGGAGGGCAAAGCAGAAATGAGCAGGTAGCGTAAGACAATGACAGCCATAAAACACTGCCACAAACATTTGACCAGTGAAGGAATAAACAGCTGAGTTGAGGAGAAAGGTCCGTAATGTTTAGCAGCCACCAGGTGGCAGTGTTGGATTGCTGTACTTAACTTTATTGACACGCATCACTATTTATTTTTACAGACTGAGTTAGTTCAACATTTTATATGACCATTGTTCCTCTAAGCTTAGATCCAAATTACAATCTATCAGGTCCACTGAATGAGTATTGATGTAGGCTGTGCTTTCAGTGCTTTAATTAAATACTTTAAAATGTCTCAATTGTCAAATATTCTAATAACTAGAAATGTCAGATGTATAGTTTTCTTCTGTCTGGTTGTAGAAAATAAATGAACACCTTATGCCAGGAGAGACAAACTGATGTGTTCTCACATCCACATTTTTGCAAGAGTTGTGACAAGTTTTCATTGGTTCATGTCTCAGTTTGGATTGAAACTTCACTTGTAAATGTAACCATTGTTCCAAATATAACATTTATATGGAGAAAATATGATTGTAGGGTTCAGCATGTTTGTGAAATTCCGCTATGCCTTATCACAGCATATGAATACTCTAGTGAGTACTCTTCCTGCTTCTGAAAAAGAACATTATTGAAATTTCTTCTATAAGGGCACTCGGGGAAACTTTTAATCCATTTTATCTTTGGGGATTGATTATTAAATTGTTTGAGTCAACTCTTGACAGTGAGAGTAGCCGACAAAAAACTGAGTTTACAAGAAAGGAGAGATCCTGTTTGGGAGCACTTTAAAAGGCTATGTGCAGAATTAAGTGGAAGGTTTTTATTAAACTGCTCTATATATTTGAATATCTGGGTTTTTGAAATTCATTGTGATATTCTAAATTCAGACTTTTTATCCCTAACATTAAAGTACACTCCCTACAGGAACACAAGCAAACAACCAAAAGAGGAAAAAAAACCTCACACCCTTTCAACAGATCCTGCCGCATTAGGGCAGTTCACCCTAATGAATCTTCTGGTGACACAGTGGGTGGTAAAGCCTCATTTGGCCATCACTAACGGATGGTTTCTACACACTGAATGACAAACAGTGTAAATAGTGTGGCACTTTTTAGCTCCTGGGGTTAGGGGATACTCCACAATAGCTAATGTGGTCACCGGGAATGCAGTGAATCCAGTCTCACATCCAAAACTCATGACACTACACCTCCGGAACAGTAGGTGGCGGTAGAAGCATGTTTGACTCGTATGAGCGCTTCAGTAAACTTAGAGGAGAATAAGTGGAACGGCCGGTGCATGCTGGGATACAAAATGAACCACAATGGCGGTTCATCGAGAAGTGTTTCATGTTATCACAGTAATATGCTTACTTTTATCACTTCTGCTACAAACCTGTAGGACTTATGCCGAAGAACTGAAGTGGGATGTCAATGGCTACGTTTTGTACTGCCCGTGCATGGGTAATTCATTCTTTGTACCTGATACCTCGATTTTACCGAATCCGAGACTTGACCCATTCATAAGTTGAGTGGCGTTTTAAGGTACTTATCGCCTAAATAAGAGTCCACACCTGTCTTGACCTCTGCTAGGAGCCAGTCGTCAGTTCGACCTACTGTATAAACCAGTAAACTTCAACAGCGGGAACAGCTGAACGCTTAAAGAGTAGCTAGTTAGCAGATAACTAATTTAACTTGGAGTTCAGCTTGAGTTAGTGTAAAAATAACTAACGCTATAACTGTTAGTTGTATCAGTCACTGTTTACAAACCACTGGTTAATGTTAAATATAACGTTAGTGTGTGGTATACGAAGGTAGCTTACCTTCCCTTCCAGTCACTCGAGTTTACATTTTCTTGTCATGAGAAGAAGTAGTGTCACAAACTTGAAAATGAGAGTGTAAAATGGACCGTGCTGTTGTTCAGGTCGCTTTGGGAACCAGGCGGACCACTTTCTGGGGTCTCTGGCCTTTGCAAAGATGTTAAACCGAACCCTGGCAGTCCCTCCCTGGATAGTGTACCGGCACCACATACCCCCTTACACCAACGTAAGTACAGTCAAGTGGGTTATGAGCATCTGTCCATGAGTGCAGTCTCACACGGGTGTGATTATTTGTACACTTCTGGTCAAAAGATTTAGGACATAGACGTTTTCCAGTTTTTATTGACATGTAGGCAGTGCAAGTCTAGTATAGAACCTTAAATAGTACAAAGCTAAAAAACTAAACTGCCAGCAATTAAAAGAAAAAGTCATCAAAATCTAAAACTGCATGTCAGGTTATTATAAAACAGGCCTTTTTCAGATAGGAGCTGGGCTCCAAATGCAGCCCCGGCCACTTGTTGCGACCACTGTGTGAGTTAGCTGTTGGTTGGGGGCTAAAATGCCAATGTGCATTGTGGAATGTGCAAATTGGAGACCTATTCTTTTACTTAAGTTTTGAGACAGGTAAGCATTGAACTGGCTCTTAAAGGTAGGCCACATTGTTCATTTGTTGTGTTTTGATTCTATAATAAGCTAGGATATTTCAATACATTAACATTATTATCTTTTCATTTTGATATGCACTTTGAGCCAGAAGATCTCACATTGCTGTTTGCAATAAAATAACCTACATTATAAATATGGTGGCATGCCATCATTACAGTTTGTGTTCACATTGTGAACGCCACATGAGCATTGTTTATTGCAGCTGTCATGGCGCATGGCATACTGGGTTTGTCTAGAACTGTAATTAACATTATATGATTTAATGAACCCTGTGTTCATGTGTGACCCAGATAATGGAACTTCATAGCATTAACATTAGCTTCTTACTGTGACTGTGACCAGAGCAGTGCAGCTACAGCTGCAGCCGTCGTGGCTGTGACTGTGGCTGAGTGGCTTACATTATGGATTACCAAACATGGTTACTGTAATATACATGTTTGCACATGGCTTTGAGTTTCATCATAGCCTATTGGGTTGTACCATCTAGTTTATCCTTATTACTTGAATTCAGTTTTCATATTCTGTGTTTATTCTACTTTTATTCTATTTTAGTTTCTTAAATAGTATGGGCATTCAACATTAGGTGAGAGAGAAACAATATTTCGATTTTTCTGTATGTCCTTCACATATAGTGAATTGGCAATAAAAAGCTTTGATCTTATGTTGAGTCAAAATAATTTGGTGAAGTATTGTCATTTGTGCAGTCCAGACTTTCCAGTTTGTTTCCTCCACAGAATAATAACTGATTTTCTTAGTGTCTGGAAGGTTAGCTGTGAACCACAGCAAGTTGGGAAGAGAAATCACAAATTTCTCTCTTTTTTTTTCAGGTTCAAAGAATACATCTTAAAAGTGACAAATGATCATCCAGTTTTCATAAGTTGCTGGAAAGGACTTTTTATGTTGTGTTAGCAGTTGCACTGTCTTAAGTTTTTTTCATAATATAGCAAGTTTTTATTTATTACAAAGTTGTTACTGTTACTTTATTATTACTGATTAAAACAGCTATTTAGAAACAACAATGCATTTCCTATCTTTGTTTTGCCAAATTATTTGAAATTCACATGTAGCAGGCCATGCTGATGTGGCTGACAACAGGAGGCTTTGCAGATGAGTACATTTCATAGACTTGGCTTTATTGGGGATTGATTGTCTTGTTCAGACAGGAAAGGCCCAGTTTTGTCTGAAATGTCATTTGTGATGTAAAATGTCATTGTATGCTCTATCTTAAAGAAATCTTTCATCCTGCAGCACTGGCCTGTTTTATTCTATTCAGGTCCATGTTCCCTACAATGAGTTCTTCCAGTTAAAGGCATTGACTGCCTACCATCGTGTGGTCAGCTTAGAGAATTTCATGGAGAAATTGGCTCCCAAATACTGGCCCACAGGACAGAGGAACGCCTACTGCTATGAGACTGCTGCACAGCGGAGTGCAGACAAGAAATCCTGCCCTATGAAGGTGATTCCAAACTATTTAGTTAAGGAGTGTCAGGCAGACATTATCTAATAATACTAGTTGCCACTTTTACATGTTGCATTCCTCTTTCCTGAAAGAACTAAAAGGTGGAAGTAAAAAAGCTAAAAAACGTAGCCTCTTTGCTGATAAATGGTGGTAATTGCACATTAAAAATGGTGAGGGTGAAATGCTGTCCTGTGTTATGACCCGTATCCTTTTGCAGCTTTGACCTAGTTGGATGGTTCTGATTCATTTTCAGGATGGGAACCCATTTGGTCCATTCTGGGAGTATGTTGGTGTGGAATTTGACCAGTCTATCTTGTTTGGTGGAATTTCTTTTGGTGCCTACCACCAGTCTCAGTGGATGAAGAAGTGAGTACATGTTTGAGCAGCCCCCTGGATTATGGACAAATTTAGGATTATTGACAATGACATAAAAGAAAAAAGCACCGCATCGGCATAAGGAGCATTACTAGCCTTAAACATAACGACTGACTGGCTGAGGTCTCCATTCTCCTCATGCTTCCCCTGTTGGAACAGGTTTCCTGCCTCTGAGCACCCTGTCCTGGCCCTGCCTGGGGCTCCTGCCCAATTCCCAGTCATAGAAGAGCATGTGGGCCTGCAGCGCTATGTGGTGTGGTCAGACAAGATGGTTAAGGAGGGAGAAGAGCACATCGCTACCTTGCTGACCAGACCATATGTTGGCATTCACCTGAGAATTGGCATTGACTGGGTGAGATGAACTGACACATATGGGCTGTTTCTCTCTTTTTCCCATGTTTCATTTTCTCATTCGCTCACACACTGACAGTCGGCTACTGTTATATTAATGCATTTGCCTTGTTCAAATCTTATAACCCCATTTCTGTTCTAACATTTATAGAGTTAACTGTTAATTGCTAAAGTCAGCTCATGGCTGAAAATCTCATTTTTGGTTTCGAGATGTATGATATTCTACTATTGCACATATACAGTATGTTGTGCTTAACTAAGTGTAGATATTTTAAAAGATAAGGCCATTGATATTCTATATTTTTCTTGTGAATAAATCCCATGATACAATAATAACTAAGAATGCATGTCTTTCCCTCAGTGATTTGATTTCTCTACCTTGTCTGTGACACTTAACCAACAGATTCCTATTGAGGTACAAATCTTTAAAAACCTCTCCCAAATATATAGTTTCTTTTTTTCAATACTTTTTGTTATCCACCTTTGCAGCAAAATGCATGCAAAATGCTCAAGAGTGGCGATGCAGGGCCTCACTTCATGGCCTCTCCTCAGTGTGTCGGCTACAACCGCCAGACGGCCCTGCCTCTCACTATGACTATGTGCCTTCCAGACCTGGAAGAGATTCTCAGGGCTGTCAAGCTATGGGTGAAGAACACAGCTGCCCGTTGTGTCTACATCGCCACAGACTCTGAATCCCACAGCAGCGATATTGAAAAGCTCTTCAAGGGAAAGGTGGGTGTGTAAAGCCTCTGTAGTGCACTCACACATATGTAATAACTAACTTTGACTCTTTAGCTTATGTTGGTTGTGACCTTAAATGTAACCTAGACAAACTAGTTAATTTTTGACTAGTAGTACAAATTTTAAAACGCTTTGTTACTGTTAGCAAATCCTTTATGTACACTGTACAGTTCGGGTAATTAGTATGATATGGAAATTACACTGCTTGATAGAAAGCTTTGCTTTTTTTTTTTTTGTTGGTGTTGTTTTGCATCATTACCGTTGTTGAGAATTAAGATATATTGTCACTTGGTTACAGGTACAATACTGTATACTCCACCTGATTGTTAATATGTGCATTTCACTGTGCTTTCTACAGGTGAAAGTTGTGAGTCTCCAGCCAGACTCGGCCCAAACCGACCTGTACATCCTAGGCCGAGCTGACCACTTCATCGGTAACTGCGTCTCATCCTTCTCCGCCTTTGTGAAGAGACAGCGGGATGCTCACGGCCTTCCATCCTCCTTTTTTGGCATGGACAAGCCTGGGAAATTAAATGAGAAAGAAGAACTCTAAGGACAGGTCATGTGATCACACTTGGGACACTAATGCTGTGTGACTGTCATGAGGAACAGAGAGAGCATGTGGAAGGCAAATCATTTTTACATGATGCAATTGCTAATAATTTCTGAAGTAAGATTAGGAGTTAACGCACAGACAGGTCCAATATTACAATGGATTATAATCTGTGAAAACTGACGAAGGGCTTAGAAGATAGGATGTAGTAGGTAGGTAGTGTGATATGTGTAATATTTGTAAAGTATTATGACATGGACCCTGCTGCTACCAAGAAATACTGTTTTAGTCTGCCCCCTGCTTGAAGATCATGCATTTGTATGTTCCCTCCCAGCATTTGGCTTCTACCTTCTTTTGTTCACTATACTAAAACCAGTTTTCCTTTCCATCAGGGAAACACATGACTTCCCTAACATTTCCTTTAGCTACAGCCTTATTCTGTAGCTACAACCATGTTTTGCAATCCAGATATGTTAGCAGGACCTCTGGTGACCTCAGTGAACCGTGGAAAAGACTAAGTGCCGTATCAACAGTCATGTTCTTCCTCTCTTTTTTGCCACCTTTTCATCTCTTTACAGCTTTCCTTTCCTCTCTGCCCCCATTCCAAGGAGAGCACAGAAAGTGGTCTTCCTGTGCATACTAAATATAGAGAAGGAAAATGAGACAATCTTTCCACTTCTCAATTTACCAGGACCAAAAACTCATGAAATATGTGGAACCCTGGTGTGAGTGTTGTGTGGACAGTATTGCTGTTGAATGTGAACCAATGTTTTAGGGGAACAAAGAGCTGATTACATGCAGGTGGGAGTATGGTGCAAGTTGACTGTGTTATCTGTGTGAATGCAATGAGTCTTATGTCAGATGTTTTCTATGATGTTTTTCACAAATAAAGATACCCACACTAATTTTCAGACAGCCTGTCTATTTACTCCCCTCACTGGAAGCTTAGCTGTGAGTACATTTGAATCAGCTGATTAACTAAACTGGTGGACAAGCTCTTTTAGACTTGGTTGCCAGATATGTCAAAAACGCTGAATTTATAATCATCATAATGCATTTATTTATATTTGCAACCTCGTCATTCATAGTTTAATTTTCTTTTTTACTCTTTCGCGACTGCATGCATATCATAATTCATGGTCTCTCTCAAAATCACAATACTTGGATGGGTTAATATGGTTTTCCGCTAATTGCTCTTTGGGCGATGTAGGCTTGAATCTGGCAACTCTGCCTAGAAACGATGGGGAGGAGCAGTGGCTAATGGCTGACTGGGAATTTTGGATTAGCTAACGTCTGCCACTGGTAACTCAAATCTTAAACAACGTTTCTGTGTATCTGGTGAAAAGCTGTCTTTGCATAGCCTTGGTTTCATGAGTCTAAAGTGCTTTTTAGTTTTGCGTGGCGATTTGTTGAAGTCACGTATGCTCTCACTACTAGTGTTAGCCAGGTAATGCTAGCAGACTTGTAGCTTAGGTTACCAGTATGTTTGCCGTTGCTAGGTCGGTCTGGTGGTCTCGTTACGGGCTAACCATATATATATACGGCTAACGTCGGTTAGCTGATCCGCTACTAGGACAAATCATTGCTGACTTCAGATGAACAGCGGCCGGGCAAAAGGGTTTGCTTGCAACTAACGACTGACATGCTGTTTACAACGACTGTCACTTTATAACCTCAAATTCCAGCGTTAACTAATTAACGGGCTAAATTTTGTTAGCTTAATTAAGGGTAGTGCGACCGGCGTATTAGCTAACAGAGCACTGCTCACATGCTTCTCATCACCGTTGTCACGTATGTGGATAACAGTGATTTTGACAGATTTTAACCTTATTTCTAATTTGTGTCGCTGTTTTGTATTGCTGTTTGTGATATCTGGGAAAGTCCTGAGCTGAGCTGTATTTCATCTGTCCGCATCAGAATAGAAATAACGTTATAATTGCTAACGTCAACCAGCAGCTTTTTGTCATGAAGACTGGTGTATGGTGCATTAACAAGGTTGTGTGTCACCATAACAAACAATGGTGATACTCAGATTTGTCACTCAAGTAAAAGTAGCGTTACTACAGTGTAAAATACTGTTACAAGGTAAAGTTTTGTATTCAAAATGTTACTTAAGTAAAAGTATGCTACTAGCATCAAATCAAAGTACCAAAAGTATTATGCAGAATGGCTCATTTTACTTTAATGCATATCATAATATTGTATTATAATTACTGTGTTCATCACTTTAATGCTCCAGCTGGTAAAGGTGGAGCTAATGGTAACTATGCTATGCTTATAATTAAGTATTTTACATACTGCTGAATGGCTTGTGAATTTCTCACCAAGTATCCATATGATGGTACTGTATTTTGTTTAATTAATCAATTCTGAAAAGTAACTAAAGTTATCAAATAAATGCGGTGTAGTAAAAAACTAGATTTGCCGCTAAAATGTGGTGAAGTCGATGTAGCAGAAAATGAAAATACTCAAGTACAGATAATTCAAAATTGTACTTACTTACAGTACTGAAATGTACTTTTCCACTAATGCAATTGCAGGTTGGCACTAATCACTGAATGTGTCTTCACCAGCAGGTTCTGATGAGCCCATTTCTACTGCTGAGCTGTTCCTGAAGCTGCCTTTGGAATACAGAGTATACTGTGCCAATCTGTGTGGGTTGGCAGCTGCTCCTCATCATGTCCAAGAGCAGGAGTTCTGAGTCGGTTAAGGTGGTGGTCCGTTGTCGCCCTATGAATGAAAAGGAAAGAGCAGCTAAATTTGAAAGGGTGGTCTCTGTCGATGTAAAACTGGGCCAAATTATTGTCAGGAATCCCAGGGAAGCTTCCGCCAGTGAACTCCCCAAAGTCTTCACATTTGATTCAGTCTACGATTGGAACTCCAAACAGATAGATCTGTATGATGAAACCTTCAGGCCCCTGGTGGATTCAGTTCTTCTTGGGTTCAACGGGACCATTTTTGCCTATGGGCAGACGGGCACAGGGAAGACGTACACTATGGAAGGGATAAGAAATGATCTAGAGAGGAGAGGGGTGATCCCTAACTCCTTTGAGCACATCTTCACACACATTTCACGTTCCCAGAATCAGCAATACCTGGTGAGAGCATCATATCTAGAAATTTACCAAGAGGAGATCAGAGACTTGCTGTCAAAGGACCAATTACATCGTCTTGAGCTCAGGGAGAGGCCTGACACGGGTGTGTATGTTAAAGACCTTTCATCATTTGTCACCAAGAGTGTGCGGGAGATTGAGCATGTCATGAACGTGGGCAACCAGAATCGTTCAGTGGGTGCCACCAACATGAACGAACACAGCTCCCGATCTCATGCAATATTCGTCATCACTGTTGAGTGCAGTGAATTGGGCGTGGACGGGGAGAATCATATTAGAGTTGGCAAACTGAACTTGGTGGATTTAGCTGGAAGTGAAAGGCAGTCTAAGACTGGAGCTCAGGGGGAGAGGCTTAAAGAAGCCACAAAGATCAATTTGTCACTTTCTGCTCTGGGCAATGTCATATCAGCTCTGGTGGACGGCAGGAGCAGCCACATCCCTTACCGAGATTCAAAACTCACCCGTCTTCTGCAGGACTCTCTCGGGGGCAATGCCCGCACTGTCATGGTTGCCAATATTGGCCCAGCATCCTACAATGTGGAGGAGACCTTGACAACACTGCGCTACTCCAACAGAGCCAAGAACATCAAGAATAAACCTCGTATTAATGAAGACCCCAAGGATGCCCTGCTGAGGGAGTTTCAGGAGGAGATTGCGAGGCTGAAGGCGCAGCTGCAAAAGCGCTCTGGAAAGAAGAAGAGGAGAAGGCACAGGAGGAGGGCTGGGGAAGAGAGCGATGGTGAGGATCTGGATGATGAAGAGACAGAGGATGATGATGAAAATGGAGACGAAAAAGGGGATTACTGGCGAGAGCAGCAGGAGAAGCTGGAGAGAGAGAGAAAGGCTATCATGGAGGATCACAGTCTGGTGGCTGAAGAGAAACTTCGGCTGCTTAAGGAGAAGGAGAACAAAATGGAAGACTTGAAGAGGGAGAAGGAGGCAGCAGAAATGCTTACAGCCAAAGTTAAGGTAAGCGGACTTTGCTAGACTAGGAACGTATCTGTATCTGATACCTGAACACACAAGCCAGTGAATTTTCTCAAATCAATAACCAGTGTTGTTCTGCTCAAATTCTTCAAATTTTCATGCAACTCACACATGTATTGGAGTCTGGTGCTTTTCTATTCCATGTGATTTGAAGTGTTTTCAGCCTTTTCTTTTCCTTCTCTGCCCAGGCAATGGAGAGTAAGCTCCTAGTAGGGGGGAAGAATATAGTGGATCACACCAATGAGCAACAGAGAATGCTGGAGCAGAAGAGGCAGGAAATTGCTGAGCAGGTACACTAGACATCTGGAAACAAAGGCTTCTTGTAATGACAGTAATTGTCTGAAGGGCACAAGTCAACTACAAAGTAATCACAGTTTAGTTGTTTATATAGTTTTCATTTATGTTTGCTGCCATCATAGCCAGGGACACATTCAGATAGCACAGCACATGGCCACCAAATATATTATTAATGCTATAAATTAACTTAATGGGGAAAAGAAAAGAAGAAGGACAGACATAAGATGCATAAAAGATTTTATATATATAGCCACTATAACCTATGGAGAGAGAGAATGGTGGTAAGGAGCAGGAGGTCTAGCAACGGTGGAGATGGTGCTGATCCAGATGATGTTTCAGTGAAATGCTGAGGTAAATGCAGAACAAAGTATCAAAAGACCTCAACTGCAGCCTGTAGTCCATACTACATTTCACTGAATGCAAAGTTGAAGATCAGGTTTATCACAAAGCAAAATACAGTTTGCTTTTACAACCAGTCGGAAGACATTTAAACATTAGTCTCTAGTTGTCAGACCTTTGGGATATTTGTGCAGTGTTCTAAAGTACTCTCTCTGATGTTCCTGAGAATCCCATAGATTAGAGGTGAAATCACTTTTTTTTCATCTCCAACCAAACCTTTCCTTCTGGCTTGTGTTCACCCCATCTATGTCTGTCTCCTCCTGAAAAATCTTTTAATGATGGCTTAATTCAGTCTTGCATTTCTCCAAGTGACAGTCTTGCAGTCCGTACACCTGATGGGAGATTAATTCATGCACCATCATCAACCTGATAGTTTGTGGTGTGACTTTTTAATATATCGACAGTAGCCCCCAACAGTCTTCTGTCAGTTACTAATGTTCATTCTTAGCACTCATCTGCCACAATCTTTCATTTCACAATGGTCCTTGTCTCCATGTAGGGTATTCTTTTTTGGTGTATACTCTCCTGTACTTGACTCACCAGATTTATTGGTGACTTCTGTGTAGCCCCACTACACACAGAGTACTGGGGTTGGAAGTAAACATGCACCCATTTCCAGAAACGGCGAGAGCGAGAAATGCAACAGCAGATGGAGAGTCGCGATGAGGAGACTCTGGAGCTGAAGGAGACCTACAGTTCTCTGCAGCAGGAGGTCGACATCAAAACCAAGAAGCTGAAAAAGGTAGGAGCTCTGACTTTGGCTAGTCTTGTTAATGGCTGTCCCAGTTGTTCTCCATTAGAAGTCTGATGTGCAGAGATTGTGAGGATATATGTGTCTATTAATAAAATACCTTGTCAAGTTACTGTCTAAGATCAGGTAAGAATGCACTGTTGGCTTTGTTGTGGATAATCCCTTATTCCTCATGACAGTAAGTCCGTTTTTATTATGGTAACCCTGGGTTCCGCTCTCCTCTGTGCTCCAGCTGTTTGCCAAGCTGCAGGCAGTGAAGGCAGAAATCCATGACATCCAGGAGGAACACATCAACGAGCGCCAGGAACTGGAGCAGAACCAAAATGAGCTCACCAGGGACCTCAAACTCAAGTAGGGAGCCTGTATTTCATATTGTTGGCCTGGCAGGAAGACGCACGTCAATATTGTATCTATTATAATCATTGTCAGCCTGTCAGAGGAGGGAAGATACTGTAACCATCTCCAAACTGCATTTGATTTCATGCTGTGTCTTTTCAGACATAAACACTGAGGCTGTGGAATTAGTAAGGTTTTCCTCCACGTTCTTGACAAGGGATTGGCCATGTCCAAGTGTCCATGTGTTGACCTGCTGATAAAATTAATAAGGACATTTGTTACTGTACTGTTGCATTCTTCAGTTGTAGTCAAACATGAGTTCTGTTCAGTCAGATTTTTCTTTATGTATAATTAATATGAAATGAGTTAGTGATATTATTTCTAACCCGCAGCCGCAAACCGAAGACTTCCTGCTTTACTATAATAAAGAGCACACGCAGCAGGGCAAGAGTCACAAAACTGAACTAGGATATTTGTGTGTTTATGGTTATGCAGTCTCAGCTGTTTACCTGTCTGTTAGTGCCTCTGTCTAATTGTTTCTCTGTTTGTCTTTTAGGCATCTGATCATCGAGAACTTCATTTCCTTGGAGGACAAGAACAAAATAGTCAACAGGGCTTACATTGATGAGGAAGACGAGTACTGGAAAATAAAGCCCATCACAAGAATAGAGGAGTACGCTGCAGAATGTTCATAGCATGCTTTTTTTTACATTCTTCATCTAATTAGTGGTTTTGGGTTATGTGAAAAGAGAAGCAAAAAGGCAGATGTTGATGTGTGGACATCCCCACCTATAATTTGTAATGTGACATTCATTTACAGCCAGAGCTTACAGTACATGTAGCGTGATCTTAATCTGGACAGCACATAGGAAAAGGGGCACTGGTATCAAATCATTAATCTGTGTCAGAAATGGTAAGGCAAGACAAAATATCAGATCATCTTTGAGCTGTAAACATACCTGTACATGTTTCTTGATGTGTTTTGTTTGGTTATTAGCACAAAATCAAATATTTGTAGTCTGAGGGGATCATTGCTCACTCAGGTCAGGCTACCAGGAAGTCTTTATCATTTTCTCTGAGTGGGCTCAGTTTTGTAGCAGCAGGTACAGTTTCAAGCCACAAGAGGATGTCTGACTTGATATTTACATGTTTCAGTAGCATTTACGGTGTTAAATCTTTTCTCTCCTATTGTGACAGAACCGTTTGTTGATTTGTTGTAAGATGCATGAAACAGCAAATTTTCCCATCATGCTGTTGAATACAGTCTCACTGTGTGTGCGTCTGCTTCAGCGACCACCAGATGATGACCAGGCCTTTGTCTGCAGTCGGCTACCGGAGGCCTCTCAGTCACCATGCTCGTATGGCCATGATGATGAAACCTGACCTGAGATACAAAGTAAGCTACACTTTCTGCTCACCTGTTTCACTGATGAACATATTGACACACAAACCTCAGTGTGAATGGTCCTTTTCCTTCCTTCATCACACCACAAGGGCTGAACTTGGATGTGCTGATGACTCTAGATACAAAACCCACCAGGGAGCCTCAGCGGTGTACGTGAATTTAGCATAGCATTAGTGATTGGAACAAAGATAATCAAATACAAAATTCAGACTTCTAAACTGCATTGGAATTTAAGTATCATTTAAAACATTTTCACAGTGGTTTACCTCAGATGAGTGTGATTCTGTTCCGTCTCCCTAGGCTGAAAACATCCTGATGCTGGACATGGACATGCCGGCTCAGACCACTAAAGAATACCAGGAGCCAGTCATCACCCCAACGGTGGCGGCAGCTCTGGAGGATGCTCTTAGGGATGAGGATGAGATCCAAATTGATGCCTCTGGCTTTCACAGCAGTTTAGGACCAACACCACCAGCCAGCGCCAGCAGCAGCCTCAAAAAACCAAAGTCTTGGTAAGGAAAAATGTCACCTTGAGCTTTCTTCCAGCTGCGAGACCACATGCTACATTCATTTTAAAGAGGTATACTGTGTGTAGTCTGGCGCTTGAATTTCTTGGTTTTGTTCAGGGTGTGCATTAAACCTGAGAATGTAGGCTCCTGTCCCTCTGTTTAATTCTCTCTTTGCTCTCTGACACTCAGTCGACCAAGATCAGGCAAGAAGTTGAGCACTCCGACTTCTCCTTACAGCCCTTCCAGTCCAGGGTCTCCTCTTTACCCACAATTCCGCGGCTTGATCCCCAAGTGACGGTTTCTACCACTACTATCACTACCACCAACTTCTCCTGTGCACCTTCCCGCTTTGGGACTCCACTTTGAGAGAATGGGTTTTGTTTTGTTTGTCCAGCCTACAGAATCTTGGATTCTGCAAGCAATAGAGAAAACTAATCCTAATGCTGCTTTGTGGGTTTTAACTGTAACAGCAACACTATGAGCTGTTGTCATGAGCTTTTCATTAGAAGATTTGTCAGTCAGTACAACACTAACACAGCAGCAGCGCTTGTAGCCTCATGCACACCACTCTAAACTGCTGTGTATCGCATATATACATCCCAGTGATCTCTCTGTCTTCTTAGATGTTTATTGTAGTCCTCTCTCTTTCTGTGATGTGGACATTGTGACATGACCCCAGGCATTCTGCTGCACTTGTCACTAACAGGTTGCATGCATGTAAGTGTTTTTCAGTGTATTGTTGTACATCTGGATGCATATCTTTGTGTGTGTGTGTGCGTGTGTTTACATCACTGTCTTGAAAAGCTGTTTCCCCCTGCTTCCAGTATTTATGCTAAGTTAATACATGCTGGCTCTCGCTTCATATTTAGCATACAGACATTACAATAACAAGTACATACCTTTCCTAAAATGTCAAACTATTCTTTTAACTCTGTATGATTGTAAATGTACAGGCCAGAAAGTAAAGCACAGTACAGACTTGGCCTCAGTTACAAGTTGCTGTAATCAGTAGATGCTGTTTTTGTTGGGGCACACGAGGCAGAGGTGGGGAACAATGGCAGGGAAGGCGGCACATTTACACAGTCAGCCACTATTGAAACACTCAGACATCCCAGTGGGAGATCAGTGCTAACCACATCCTGGGTCACCTAAAAGTAACTGTCCTGGAAGGTGCTTCAGATTCTTCAGGGTTCCCAGGTGCCTTAACCTGTGTCCAGAGTCTCTGCTCCTTTGTCTAAAATGCACACTCATTCTTCTCAGCCAGTTCTTTATCACTTCCCGCAGCTCAGCTATTCCAGTATCAGGGAACTGTTTACAACACGGTCCTGCCATTCCTGTCACAATGGGATGCACTCTTTAGACAGAGAGGCAGAGCATTTGGACACAGCATTGAGCTATTCTCAGTACTGTGTTGGTGCCACAATACTCTGTCAGAACACTATGGACTTGAAAGGATCTGATACACAGACCATTCCATTTGTTTGCCTACAGATGAATAATATGCAGCTTTAACCTCCCTGTTTACTGATCTCTGTTCCCCATGTTCCAACTGTGATGAGTGCGCTGTCTGTTCGCTGCTACTGTGTAGGATGTGAAACCCCACTGTGACTTTTCAACAGGCCTGGCTCAAATGGCAAATGAAATCCTCTGAAACACTTGCGACATGCAGTTGATTGTTAAATGGCATCGACTGTCCATGTCAGATACTAAAACTAAAGGATCTCTCTTGCTGTTTGACTCATCCCTGCAAACCTTATGTATCTAGATATGTAACAGTGAATATAGACTTGATGATAGGTAATCCTCAGTCACTTTTGGAGATGTTAAACACAAACACAGTTTTCCATATTAAAAAGAAAAAAATCTAACTTATAATCTTTCATTTTTATATACAGATGTAGATATAATTTTCTATTCATTTTTTCTTTGAAATTGTTTTATTTTTTGAGCTTTGTAATTTAATGTTGACATTTTATTTTTTTGCGTCATCCACGTGCTGTTTCTTAGTATTAAGTTAGGTACAGGCTTTCTGTGTAAGGCTTCAGCCACAGAGTTCTCCACAGATGAAAGCAAGGGTCAACTGCTGCTGATGGTGTGAAGAATTCTCATCACAGTCAAGTATTTACAGGTCGACTGTACATTTCACTTCATGAACACAATCTTTAGAATAAGACCTAGTTGTTGTAACTAACATTGCAATGCTGTACACCTGCTGCATGGTTTTAGCATGCTTGAGTAATACATTGGGTTTTGTTTATTCGTCAGTCATAGGAATTTGGTAAACAAAATGTGAATATCCTAATTTAACTGAATATCTTTGCATCTGTATCCCATAGCTACATCACTGGACCCAAACTCCTTATCTAAAACTTTTGTGACCAACTTTTATGTGCTGTTATTGGCTTTGTAGCCGAATGACAGTTATACCGGTGCATTTCTGTCCGTGGCTGGCTGTCTTTTACTTTGTTTTTTTTTTTTTTTTT